AGCCAACTATATGGTTACGGTAACGTAGATGACACTTTCATACTCTGGCCACATCAGGAAGAAGTCCAGGTTCTTCTGGACCATGTGAACTCAATAAGACCTTCAATACAGTTCACAATGGAGAAAGAGAGTAACAACTCACTCCCATTCCTGGATGTACTAATATCTCGAACAGAGAATGGGTTCAAGACATCCGTATACACAGTGGATAAAGGCGTTGGTTAGATCCAGTGACAGACCCAAAGAAGGTGAGTTCAATTCCTGGAGAACTTTCAGAGGGAAAATTAGCAGGAGATAACTGATAACTGACATCCATCAAACATGGCACGTGGAATTAGAACAGTCTACCCCAGCGATGAAATAAAGGGTTCAGTTCGAAATTCCAACCACCTGAAGAAGGCGGAGCGTACAATTTTTAAAACGTTGTGACAAATATGGCGACAAAGATGAGGGACAATAGTCCGACTAATGTAAATACTGTACATAATACCTCATCTCAGAAATATAGACAATCTTTCCAAGGAATTTTAATTAAGTTCTGCTTAGCATAATTGCAGGTTAGATCTGTGAGTGTTAAAGAAACACAAATGAAATATGCCTGAGCATGCATCGGCAACACGGATTAACTAACCAGCCTAGCAAGTCTCCTGAGACTAATGGACACTAACTTACATACTTTCATATAATTTATCATGTAGTATAATGTAAGCATTTTGAAAGCGCTTCAGTCTCTCCTTGGTTATATTGCTGTACTGATTTGGCCATGCTGTCTGTGGAGATTGCTCTTTTAAATAATGAAGTGCTATTTGCTTCAATTTTAATATATTTGATGATGTAAATCTGCCATTTTTCTTCCACAATGATTTAAAATATATGTCCTTTGTTTTTTATGCAATGCTGAAATATCTGGCAGGCTCATGTTTTCCAAGATGCTGTAGACTCTATCAGTACTTTTGTATCTATCCTGAATCCATAATACTGCATAATATTAAATAGAATGAATGTGTTTGGGGTGGGGGTCTGCCATACCATCAATTATGGTAAGCATTAGTTGGTTTAAATTTAAGTACGAATAACTTTTTTATCATAAACTTTGTAATAATAAAAATAAAAATGTCAAGTGTTACTGAAAGTTTTTGGCTTCTAGACACATTCCAAAAATCTGACCAAATAAGCAAATTTTAGAATTGTGAAGAAAGTTCCTTCTTAGTCAGGCTTAGAACTTTCCAACATTCCTTCGTAATATAAACCCAAATAGTTTAATCTCTTGCACAAGACTCTAACGATTAAGCAATAAAATGGTTGCCGAGTGAAAAAGATTTAGATATTGTATTATACGTATTTTTCTGTGCATGTCTCAAGTTATCAATTGAAAATCAGGAAAAAGAAAATTAATTCTCATCAGAAATCAACTTCTACAATAAAGTTATCTACTTAAATGTTGAGTTAAAATAATTACAAGGAAAAACAGAATAAAAATCTACCTTGTAACCTTAAAAATAGAAAACTTTTTCATCACTTTCCAAATACTGAATCAGATAACATTTTATTTTTCACAGCTGAGCTTCACTTTTCTTATCAGAAAGGTCAACCATATTAACAAGTGATTGGTAAAAAAAACCCCAAAAAACTAATGATCAAATCCATGGTTCACTTCCTTTCAAGAACAAAATTTCTTTCTGATAATAATTTTATATTTTCTTCTTAGTTACAAACAAAAGACAAAGGCACATGCCATATTTGTTATAAAAGGCTATTGAAGTCCTTTTTTGGTTATTTTGCACATGTACAGATAGGAACGAACTGTTTTCAGTGTAGACTAGATGTAACTTGTTTCTTTGCAAAGGTATTTTATATCTGATTGATACTGTTGCAATCAATTTCTGTTTATCCGAACTGTAACTCCCCTGTCTTTCATTATGTGTCCCTCATGACTTCAACTTCACAAATCAAGCATGACTGAACTTCATATCAGTAACTGTGAGAATAGCTTTCATCCAGTTATCCAACCACACACACACACACACACACATATACACACATACATACATACATATATATGAGTGTATCGTGTCATGGTATTGGAATGAAAAATGTGATTGGCATGTTGACTTCAAATTTCAGCTGATGCCATTGTGTCCAATTCTACCCTTAGAAAGATATGAATCCATCTCTTCTCTCTCTACCAGTTGGGGAGTTAATAGCAGGACAGATTAGGCTTTGTTGGTAGGCATTCTAAAGGAAGGCAAACCCTGAATTTAAAATTAACTGGATACCCTACTCTACCTGCTATGGAAACCACAGCAGCAACACAGTGTAGTAAAGGTGTGGCCCTATATGTTACAAGAGAGTTTTACAGGGTTAGCATATAAATATTTACAAACATGTTCTGTTAAATAGAGGATGCCTATTGACATTGTCCAAATTTCAATGTTGGAATGCTATGTTATACACACACACACACACACACACACACACATATATATATATATATAGTTAAATATAAAGACCATGAATGTCTATTATGTTTGATCCTGAGTTGTTCTAAACTTCATATAGTTGCTTTAATTTCAGGTGAAAATAAAGACAAAAATTGTTCAACATTTGGATATTTTTTAATATGTTGTTCCATGATCTAAGCTTTTGGCTCACATGAGCCATCTTCAGAGTGGTTATATGGACAGTTAAACAAATATATTCACCATCAAAGAGTGACATAAAAGATTGCTATGTGATGATAACAGTCATAGAATAGAAAACACAGGTCATAAATTCATGATACAGTTCTATGACACCATACCACATGAGAGACCAAATATTAACAACAGAACCATATATCTAGATGCAATGTAATGTGTTGTGACTAGTTTGAAATGTAATTTTCTTGATTGTGGGTTGCTATATTTTAATGTAGATATGTGCTCCAATACACTATATATATATATATATATATCTATTTAGTTTCATGTATGCATATTTTTTTTTATTTTGTTAACTGCACAGTAGGGTCAGTTGGGCACTGTGAGAAAAAGAGCACCATGATGCAATTCACTGTGCCAAAAATTTGAAAATGGTGTATAAACATTTCAGAGTGTTTGGGTGGCAATCTTAGGTCAGTGCAGAAGATTTGAAAAGAGTTGTATGAGTCTAATGGTGATTACAAATGTAGAGCAGCTTGGAAAACTCACTTTGAACATTCTGATAAGAAAAGAACTTGTTGGTAAGGGCCTCAGGTTCAACACAGAGGCCTACATTGAGTGGCCTTGAGGAGGTAGTGGTGTTTGGGTCATTTTCTGGCAACAGGACTCTGCACCACAAGCAGGACAAGCCAGTCATGGCTGTCAGACAATTTCTACTCAAAAACATTTGTGTTTGTTCAGCACCCACAGAGCCTACCTGTGGTTTATACTTCAACTATGCTGTGCACACTTTAATTACAGTTTCTGGGAGAGAGAACATTAGTAGACATGATCAACAGTCTGAACAAGGCCAGTACACTCAAACTCTCGGTCATAATGATTTATGATTTTGGTTTTGCACAATCATTGATAGCTCTTAAATAGTTCCATCTACCCGATTTCATTCACAAACCTTGGGTCAACTTGTGGGGTATGGTTTTCATGCACCTTTCCAAAGCTGCTGCAAATTGGTATCACCTCCCCTGGCTGATAGAATCAAGACATCACCTTCCTAACAAATTGACTATGATTCAAATTTCTAACCACTTGGCCAAGTGTGACAAATTATTTGGATTGTGCTCTAGTACTTTAGGCAGTCAAAATGTGGTTTGGCAGATTTTGTCAGAATGATTTTAACCTAAGCAATCAATCACACTCTGAGTGACCTCCTGACATCAATGAAGACAGTTTGCTTGTTATCATGGAGAAATAATTGGAGATTTTTGACTGAAGAGATTGCTAAGAGTTTGAAAATTCATATTTCAACTGCCTTTCATCATTTGAAGAGACTTAGATTGAAGAAATATGGCTGATTTTGTCAAATCGAAAAGGTATCATTTTTCATCATGACAATGCAAGAACGTATGTTGCAAAGCAGACGTTGCACAAGAATAAAGAGTTAAAATGGGAAACCTTTCAGCATCCACCGTATTCTCCTGACTTGGCTCCTTTGGGTTTTCATTTGTTTTGCTTTTTACAGAACAATTTAAATGAAAAAATATTTGACTCTGTACCTCACAACTTTCTTCTAACAAAAAAACATGAAGTCTCCACGAAAATGGCATCAACGAGAGACAGTTGCTATGTAATTGACTAATAAATTTTTTTGTATGTAAAATTTAGTTTATAATTTTCTAATCAGCCACAAACTTTTGCAATGATCTTATATATATCTTATATATATATATATATATATATATATATATATATATATATATATATATATATATATATGGTTGCACCAGATATTTGTGAACACACCTCTAGTAATGTTATATCATTTAACATTCTCATCTTTTTTAGATCTGTCTAGAGCATTAAGATGGCAGCTTCCAGTTTGACAGAAGAAATAAAAAAGACACACCATGCTCAAGGTAAAAGCCAGCAACTTCAGCAATTCAGAGATTGTGAACTTGTTGAATGGCCTTGGAATCAAAACTACTCCATGGTGTTTATATATATATATATATATATATATATATATATATATATATATATATATATATATATATATGCTCTCACACACACACACATATATATATATATATATATATATATATAATTCTCCTGTTGCTTTCAATAATTGATGCCCAACATTTTACTTTAGAAGGAAACTAATAGAGATGACCCACAAAAAACTCATAACAAAGAAATGGTTCCTGGAATAATATCATGTCCTAAAGAATATACATGGACTGAAACTTGACTCTTCATAGAAATATGGTTTGAATTCAGAGTATTCCTTCTCTTAGATTGGCTGCCAACCAAGGCAAGAGAACACAGTCTACTCTGCTAATTGACATAAGAAAGCAGAAGAATTACCTTTGCGCTAGTTTCCTTCACCTCTTTGACATGATTTTCAACATGTTGCACTTTCATTTGCCAGGCCAATTTCAAGTTTTCTTTCTCCCGCTGCTGTTCTCGGATTGTCATGTCATGTTGAATGTGTTGTTCCCTCAGCAACTGCGAACGTTCTTCATCGGATCCCATCTTTGCCTCATGTAGCTAAAAAAGTAAAGATATCAGAATGAATTTTTGATTTATTTCATTTTCATCTTATTATTTTGTTTACTATTGAAACACTCAGGTTTTTTTAATATTTTATGATTGTTAAGTAAGTTGAGAACATTTCAGAAATAAATGATGTAGCCTGAAGTGTGATTTGAACTCATATTTTATATTCTTGATTTGGTTCCAGAGATACATCTGCTGACAAAATTCAAATTTAGTCAAATAATTTCAGCCCTATCTTATTTTCTTTATTGTTTGTTTACACCTAGTAGTAGTAGATATAATAGTGGAAAATTTGTAAGAATTTTTTTTCAGTTACAGCTTCTCATCATAAATTTTTGATAAGTTCATATTTTATTCTATCATTACCTTTTATTCTAACTCTCACATTGTTTTGACACTATGTCAGTAGCATACCTATATTTTGTACCACCCAGAGCAGTCATAGAAATTGCCACCTTTGTAAACAATGTTACAAAACTGGACATCATCTACTTCACTATACTAATTTATCTAAATGCTGCATTTCAAAATTGGAAGTCCTGGACACGCAACCCCTTCTGCTCACTTTTAGGTCCATTAATGCACCTAGTAGCTAAATAGCTAAATTTGTTAAAAGATGAATAATTGAATAATTTCAAAATAACAATTTCTAAAACAAAGTAAAAAATAATGTGAAAAAACTACATCTGTCTATATTTCTGAGATAAAGTATTGTAACTATTTACTCTATTTTCATTGTTCAGACTGTTGTCCTCATATTTATTGCCATATGCATGAGGTTTCGGCCATTGAACACGTCAGACTTCATCAGGTGATATACATTGGAATTTCAAACCAAATCCCAAGGGCACATAGCCCAGTGGATAAAAGCTTTGGTTGAAGTAATCCAGTGACTTAACCCAAAGAGTTGTGAGCTCAATACCTGTCCACAACAGAGGTGAACAAAAACTTGTAGAGTCGAGCGACTAAAGGGAAAAAACTGAAACTGAGATACCCAAAAAAAGGTATGGCAAGTGGAACTAGAACAATTTCCCCCAGTGGACTAAATAAAGGGTTCAGTTTGAAATTCCAACGTATATCACTTGAAGAAGACAGGAGAATACTGTGGTCGGAACATCGTGAATATGACAATAAAGATAAGGAGAACACTCCAAACAATAATGTTATCTTAATGTTAATAAATTGAAACTTATCTGAAAAATAAATGACGAAATAAATAAAATCTGTCCATTTTAATCAGAATTTTTGTGTCTGTGGAAAAACTTATCTTTTCCTTGCTTTAAACCTCCATTGAAAAACCTTTCCAGTAGAAAAAAATGAGATTTTAAAATAAAATAGCTTTGAATTTAAAATTTAATTAAAATGACTGTAGATTTTAAGCTTTCACAGTTTTTTTAGATGTATAAAATTAAGTTCATATATTAGATTTAGACTAGATGTTTTTTTTTTTATAGGTCAATCCATTTATTAGGTGTCTTGTTTTTCACACAGAGATCTCATTCCATCCCTAGACACCATTTTCCTGCTTAATTGCGACACCTTGAAGCAGGCTGACAAGTTCCATTTCACACTTCCATGCAGACACACACAAAGTCACTATTGACACAAGAGACACGTGATGTGCCATGTTGAAGTAGTTTAGTTAATTGAATCAAGAGTGAGTTTAGAGAATTCTCCAGGAAAAACAGTGCCACAGACATTCTTGCATGAATCAAGAAATCAAGTGAAAAGATTTTGTGATATTTTCTTGAAGGATGTACAAACAAATATGGGCCAAGTCAACATGAGAAAATAGTTTTTTTACTCAATGACAAATAACCAGTTTTTCATAGGCTGAAGAATTTTTCCCCAGAGATATTCATATTCAGTAAGGAATTTGGATTTAGGGATGAATACGTAGTGTATCAGTTATTTACATGAAAGGTGGAATCAGCATGCCATGTTTAAATAGTTCAAATTTGTTGCATTCATTTTTGCACAAATACCCATGGGAAAGGTATGAACTATCTTTTCTCTCCACCAGCTATGGGTTAAATAACAGGGTAAGTGGGCCTCTCTAGTCTTAATATGCAACCAGTCTAGAAGAACAAATTTGAATTCAAAACCAGTTGGGTGTAGTAAGGTTATCAATTCCACCTCATAAAAACTTACTTACCATGGAAAGCAAAGCAATAACACTTAGCATGTTAAAGATGTAACCATAGGATCTACAGGGGAGTATAATGGTATGGAGGAGATTGATGTGGATTTTGTAGATATTTTATTGACCTTTTCCCATATAAATAGCACTTTACTATTAAAATAACAATTTTTTTTACTTATTTTTTGTATATTGATTTAATACTAAATGAAAACTGATGCAATCAAACTCAAACTTTGATCATGTGACCACAATAGTATTAATTATAAGCACGCATGAGTAGAAGGCAGTGTGATAAGCGTAAAGGTACATTATGGTAAAAGTGCAGATATTTTTTGATTTACCCTCGTGTATGTGTGTGTGTATATATATATATATATATACATATATAAATAAAAGTGAATATTGAAGTCAGACTATTTCATGCTAAATGCAATCGTTTGGGCCATGATTGTGTCTAGCATGAAACAGTTTGTTGCCTTTGAGTGTTGACTTCAATGTTCACTTTTATATTTACATCCGCTCTATCTATGATATTGAACACTTTATCCCATATATATATATATGTATATGCATCAAGTATTTATCCAGACAAGGTCTGTCAATTTAATTTTTTATTATATTTTTTCCATTCAAATTAACTAAATGTTAAGAATAAAATCTTTTTCCTTGACATATTAATCAATGACAATAGCCATAACTTTATGGCACCTTCTTTACAAAAAGCCCACCAGCAGAAACATGTTTACTTAACAAAAGTGAATGTTCTCACAGATACAAAATAGCTATTATGAAAAGCATGATTTACTGAGCCAAAATAAACTCTTCTTTAGACATATTATGAACTATTCAACATTAAACAAATTCTAATCAACAATAACTTCCCTAACCATGTTGTCAATGAACAAATAAAATTAGCTTTAATGAAAATTTACCAAAAATTCAACCCCTTTCTGATCCAAACAAAAAATAAATATATCATTAACTTATTCCATTGTAACCAGAATGAAAAAGCAATTAAAAACATAATTCACCAGTACGTATCTCACTCAAAAATCCTAAGATTTATGATCTACTATAAAAAGTTTAAAACATCTAATTCAATTATTACCAGCAACACAAAACTTCAAAAATCCCCCATATATATAAATAATGTCATCTATGAATTCTAATGTACATCTCCAACGTTAATAATAATAATAATAAAAAACATCATTAAATACTTCCATTGAGCACAAATGCACTACACTCTCTTGCAGATTGACCTGTCTCCTGGTGAAACTCTGTGATCAATGAGCATCTTATGAATGACCAAAATATAACTATCAACATAAAACAAATATTAGTTAACAGCACCAAATTACGCTACAGCAACAAATGCAATGAAAGACTCAAAATTCTAGAAGCTATAATTGTACAAAATAAACAGACCACATTAAATAAAATATCATCCACCACAGGAGATGATATCTTCAAGTGTATATCTAATATGCATGTATTTTATATTAGTATGATAAAAATACAAATAAATAAAATAATAATATAATTAAAACACATTCATTTTGTGTGGCCTTGTTCTCAATGACTGTTACACGTAACATCATGTTAGACTATTTCATACTTCCAGCTTTTTCCAAAGAATAGAAGGATGTAGGCAAAGGAATTCTAACCCTACCCCCACAGACACCACATTGGTTCTTGATAAGGATCGAGATGGTTGAAAATACTTAATATAACAATAACTAAATATAAACTTTAGTCAGTTTATCCACAACTAGGTTCACAATACTCAACACTTTATTCAGTTGGAAAACAGAGTGAAAAATGAAACAAAAATACCTTGTTGAGTGTTTTATATATATATATATTTTATATATATATATAATATATATATATTTAAGTAATGAAAAGTTTAGTAATCCATATGGATAATCCCAAGGAGGATGTAATCCAGAGAGCTCAAATCAGAACAATTATTAATTCAATTTAAATAGAAAACAAACAACATTAAGGGTGCACTGGTTATAATTTATTTCACCAGATACTTGATTTTTACCTGGCTCATCAGACCACACTTCCAAGGGTGAAAAATTTTTTTAATTTACATATGTAAATGTACATATGTAAATATGTTTTCAAATTTACATATTTTAAATGTACATACATACACTTAAAAATCTTTTCATCTTTGGAAGTGTGGTCTGATGAGCCAGGTAAAAATCATATACCTGGTGAAATAAAATATAACCAATGGACCCTTAAGGTTGTCTATTTTCTATTTAAATTCAATTTATATATATATCAATAGGAATTAAGATTACATTAGGAGATGATTATTTTCACTTTGTAAATTGGAAAAAATTTATCAGGATTTTTCAATTTACAAGGTGAAAATGATCATTAATCTAATGTAATCTTAATTCCTATTGTATAAAATATGTTGCTCTGTTTAATTAAAACATTGAGCTCTATGTGTGAATCAGTTTTAATATTTAATATTTTATATTGTATTAATAGGATTCACTTGAATTATAGGCCAATGGATTATTACCTCTGTGTGTGTGTGTGTGTGCATATATATATATATATATATATATTCAAAAAGATCCCATAGTCTAAATTTTTCGAACAGATCAGTTCCAAAGAGGTTATTTGATTTTCGCATGACAAAAATTTTCACTTTTTCGGTCTTATTCTGAAAAGAAATATTCGTCAATAATTCTCCTTCGAAGGTGATTTTTTCACCACTGACGCTTCTCGCCGTTTTATGTGATTTAATCATAGTGGGTCTCCCAAGCTTCTTCCATGTCTGTATATTAATGATGGAAATATCAGACCCACTATCAAGCTG